TCCATAAATAAACAGAGGTTTCCAGCAATCTGATACAGTCTGTAAGTACTTAGGGACAAATACAGAAATAATTGTCAGTCTGCAGCAAAGAACGAGATAAAAGCAGATACTCCTATCTGCTCTCCAAAGAGATCAGATACTTCCAATTGTGCCTGGCACTAAATCATTCCCACCCACTGGATTATTATAAAATACTGTCAACTGACATAGGTACAAGAATTTGGAGTAGAAACCCCATCACCCTCCACCTAATCAGATCACAATACCTAAATCAAATAAATAGGTGAGTGATTATGTGAAAATGTTGATGGGACCTTGATTATATCCAAAGGGGAGTGTTGAAATTTTTAATGAGATCTCCTATAAAAACAAACAAATGTAACTCGCAAAGAACTACACTAAACTTTTCTTGATACCCTTAAGTGATGAGAATTACCAGCAAGGTTCAACTGTGTGTAACGTACATAATGTTAACTTGATCTTTTAATCCCCAAGTGGAACATATATGAAGGAATTAACATGTGGCTTTCTTTTGCTAGTTCAAAGCTAAACTCCTTGACCTCGACTCTACAATACCAAAGCTTTTTTAAATGTTATTTTGCACAGATGATGACAGAAAGTCATGAGATTAAAATCTGTGCATCCCATCTAATTTGAAAAGCCTGTGTTGTCAACCATAAAGATATACACTGCAGCATGTTTTTCAGTATATAGGACACTTTTTTGTCTCTGCATACAACTTACAACTGTATTTGAGCCCAGAATTATGCTTGTATATCAAGACAGTCATTAAATGGGTCACCGTCTCACCACACCTTGATTTTTACCACCGTTTGTGCAGCAATTGTTAAACAAATTCATTTTACCCAATGGGCATTTTTTTTTTACTGGAAACAAGTGCCAAAAAGCAGTAGAAAATGTTGTCGGAACTCTGGAACTAGATCATAAATACATTTTGAGGGGTCCATCACAACTTCAAATGGTTGCTAAATGACCTGTCATCAAGTGAGGACTAGCTGCAATACCTGCCACTCTCAAGTACTCATGAAACACAAGGTATGATTCCCCCCCCCCCCACGGTTCCTGTGCAACTGGCTTCAAACTGGCTTCCCCCAACACTAGTCATGCTGGCAAAACTGTTAAACTGGAACTCAAAATGTCATTTGCTTAGACATCTGCTGCTCTCCGACAAGGCAGAATTACATCATAGGCTTCAGTGCACCCTCTGTAAGCTGTTTGTTGTTTTTTTTAAGGTAAAGGTGTTTCCTGTTTTTCATTACTGAAGTATGAGCCTCTGCATCAAGACCAGTCTTGAATACAGGCGCATCCAATCACGAGCCCTTATTTGGGGAAGTGCAAAAAAGATGGAATGAGGAACGCATGGCTCTCCAAGTTTTGTTGGACTCCCACTCTCTTAATCCTCAGCCAAAATGGTCAAAGGTCTGAAATGATGGGAGTTCTTCTAATGTTTCTTTTTTTATTTAAACTTACATGTTGCCAAATGGTGACAGTGTTTTCACTTAATGACTGCATTCCCTTAACAGATTGTGGTGATTAACTTGCAAAAAAGTTCGTAAAATCAGGTCACATAATCACCTGCTTTACGACCATCATGACTTGCAACCATTATTATTATTATAGACTATAAGTAATCATATAGTAAATACGGTTAGGGCACTAAGTTGGCGAAAGCTGATGCAGCTATTAGAATCTAGATCAGTGGTTCTCAACCTTTTTAATGCCGCGACCCCCCAACCGGTCATAAGTCGAGGACTACTCAACTGGTACAGCACCGTTTGCAGAATGGGACTTTTGACGGGCTCAGCAGGGCAGAGACAGCCTGGACAATTCCTATTGGCTTTTGAAAGCCAATAGAATTAGACTCTATTCAAGAGAGTCTATTCTATTGGCTTTCAAAAGCCAATAGAATAAAAGGGAGTAGCACAGCTAAGGAAAAGGGGGAAAAATGGCGTACTGCGTTGCTTGGCAACCCCCGTGAAATGGTCATTTGACCCCCAAATGGGGTCCTGACCCACAGGTTGAGAACCACTGATCTAGATAATGATGGGGGGGGGGAGAGCCCTAAAGAAAATAACTTTGCTGAGTGAAATAGTTGCACTGCTTTAGTGCTGGAAATAACTATTTGACCTATTCTGGTGTAACCCTTTTAGGGCTTTTCTTAAAATAGGATATCTAGAACAATGGCATCCAGCATGGCATCTGCTTTCCTGGTGATATAAAAGGGGAATCCAGGTATTCCAATATGTAGTTGCAAAACAAGGAAGGAATTCAAGTCCTGATCTAGCCATGAAAGCCAGTGGGGTGACTTCGAACCATTTTCTCTCAGCCCAACTCACCGTACAGAATTGTTGTGGGGAAAAATTGGAGGAGGAAGGTGTGTTGGATATATTCTCCGCCTTTTGTTATTTGTAAAAATAATAACAAAAGCAGGATAGAAATAAATAAGGGCCCACATTTTAGAAGATTGAAAAATATCCCAAGATTTTGGCAGTTTCCCCCAGATGGCCGTGTTAAATCAAAATTTCACAAGTTCTGTCAATCTTTGCAAGATTAAAATATAATAAGTTTTTGTTACAATTTACCAATTTACCAAGTGTAGATGCAAAATTAGATCAGCATTTTCCAAACCGTTTTTTTTCATTTAAATTACTAATTCCGCTGTCATGTATTTTATCATTATCTTATAAGATCAATATATATTGCAAAGTAGTTTACAATTTTATAAATAAATTTCTCATTTACTTGGCCAGCGGTTCAAGATAAAGGGGGGGGGGAAACCTCTTAGATCTGTGCCTAATTTATTAGTGCTTAATTTATTGATGGAATTGTCCAAAACTAGCAAAGGTTTGTAATTAAAACAACTTTTAAAATGGATTAAAAGAAATTAGTCAGAAAGTCTTAGTTGTAATGGCAAACTGAAGACGCCTATTGTTTGTATAAGTCTGACTTTTTGAATCACACATGGCCAATAAAGACTATTCTATTCTATTCTATTCTATTCTATTCTATTCTATTCTATTCTATTCTATTCTATTCTATTCTATTCTATTCCATTCCATTCCATTCCATTCCATTCTACTCCACTCCACTCCACTCCACTCCACTCTACTCTACTCTATTCTATTCTATGCCATTCCATGCCATCCCATCCCATCCCATTCTCCTGCCTTCATTAATTTTACAAATAACTCAAGGTGGTGAATATATCCAATACACCTTCCTCCTCCTATTTTCGCCACAACAACAACCCTGTTAGGTGGATTGGGCTGAGAGAGTTCTCGCCCAACATCACCCAATTGGGTTTACATGGCTAAGGCGGGATTTAAACTCACAGTCTCCTGCTTTCTAGCCTGGTGCCTTAACTACTAGACCAGGGGTAGGCAACCTTGGCTCTTTTATTGTGGACTTCAACTCCCAGAATTCCTGAGCCAGCATGGCTCAGCTTGGAAGCCTCTCCCTTTCCCCTCAGCATGGCTGGCTCAGGAATTCTGGGAGTTGAAGTCCACGAGTCATAAAAGAGCCAAGGTTGCCGACCCCTGTACTAGACCAAACTGGCTCTACTTAATCTTATTTGGCAACATGTAAGTTTAAATAAAAAAAAAACATTATTAGAGATATCCATTCATAGTTCTGATAATGAGTTTGCTTAAGGCAGTGAAAAAGAAAGTGTTAGCAGCAACGTATATCATAAAAAAGAGGTATATAAAATAGAAATAAAACAAGAGGAAAAATACACTGATCCAAAATTAGGATTATATGTTTTAGATTATGAGATCTTTAGATTATGAGTTTTCCCAAGGTCTATGGCAGTGATGGCAAACCTTTTAGAGACTGAGTGCCCAAAAACCGCCTGCCCCCGCTCTGCCCCGCCCCGCTCGCCCCGGCCTCTGCCTGTCCACAGGGCCACTCACTACCTCCACAGCCCGCTGCAAATCGCCCAGGTAACCCAGCAGTGCTATGGGGGCCATGCCCTCCGCATCAACTGCATGCAATGGGGCACAAGGGCGGAGTCTTGTCCCCGCTGCCTGGCTGCCATGTCCTTGGGTACGCTGCTCTGTGTGGGCCGCGCTTGGGGGCAACTCTCCTCTGGGGGGGCTGCTGGTGAGGAGGGAACCACAGGGCTGGGGTGACGGCACGCGTACCCACAAAGAGGGTTCTGAGTGCCACCTGTGGCACACGTGCCATAGGTTTGCCACCACTGGTCTATGGGAAAAAGCATCACCCATTCTTATTTTATCCATTAGGAGAAAAAAAAAAAGAAGAAGACTTTTTACTGTTCAGAAATTCAGTTATACAGGTAGTCCTCAACTTATGACTGTAATGGAGCCTCAAATTTCTATCATAAATCATGATGATTGTAAGTCAAAGAACACACAATGATGTTATAATTTTTTTGTGGTGGCTGTTAAATGAATGCCACAGTTGTGAAACAAATAATGTATATACGGTATTTCCATGGGTTTTTTTTATCAGAAACCAGCTGAAAAGGCCAGAAACTGAAAAAAAAAATGTTGAAAACTATGGTCATGTGACCCTGGAACACTCAACCAGCTGTAAAGGTGAGCAATTGCCATGTACACAAAATGTGGTCATGTCATCCTGTGTGTGTGTGTGTGTGTGTGTGTGTGTGTGTGTGTGTGTGTGAGTGAGATTGAGCAGCCTCAGAAATCCAGAACCAGGTCTTATGTAGCTACTGGGAGATCCATCATTAGTTTGAACAGTCACTAAGTTACCAGTTGTAAGTTGAGGACTACCTGGAATACATTACTTTACAGTACTATAAGAAAAAGGGCGGGGCAGAAAGAAAAAAAAGAGAGGAAGGATCACAACTGATTCTGAAACACAAGACCAGAAAATGCACAACTGTCCGCTATTTCTCACAGGTTAATGGCCTGTTACCACCTGCTTTCTCCCTTATAAAGGAAGGACAAAGCTATGGTTTTCTTTAAGAACTGAATGCACACACTCAAGGAATATACCTGTAGACCACAGCAGCCAACAGCATTCAATATGGAAGCATTGTGGACCACTCTGTAAGGAATTCCCTGCTTCACAGCCCGGAGAACAAGGTCACTATGTGTAGTTGCCCTGCAGTAAAAAAAAAAAAAAGCAAGTTATAAAACATGGTAAATTTTCTGTAGCACTGCAATTATGTAATAATAGCAATAACCAAATGTTGTCTTCCCTAATCACCCTTTTCCAAAACATGAAGCTATCCAAACTCTTGTTTTCCAATTCAAATGCAGAATTTTGTGTATCTGTCGCTTACACCCATTTCCAAACTAGTTCTGTTCCTCAAGCACCATTGTGTGTGTGATTGCAATCCATGGCCTGTTGCAAATCTACACACCTTAAGATCTCATGGCATCTTGCAGATGGGATGATAATTATCCCAAAATGAAGGTTAACATGTGAATCAGTTAAGTCCAAGAAATAAATGTCCCCCTGAATTGTATCATTCAGGGAATTCATTCAATCTATCTATATAATGTACTGCTGTGGAAACAGAAGCAAAATCAAATCAAGATGTGTTTTTTTTTCCTCCCACATTTTCACTCCCCCCCCTCCTTCACGTTGCCTCTGGCGTGCCAGTCAGAGCCTAAGAAAGTTGCAAAACCTTATCGTAAATTTGTATTTCACATATGGACACTTGAGAACTATATGCTTTCAGATGGTCCTTAGTGAAACAGCAAGAGGGATGAAAATCCACACTGAACTCAACCAACTAAAACTGGAAAAGAAAAAAAAAATCCAAGCGACCCTATACCAAAACTAGTTGAAACACTAGAAAACTAAAAATTACAGTCGTTTGCATTTTAACTTGAATAAACGATTGCATCTGAAAACTAGGTGCTCCAGTTCTTTGTCTCTTTCTGAAAACTGCAACAGCAACTGGGGCACAAAGAGCAACTCTGGCGTAGCTCCAATGCTCTCTTTTAATTACTGTGCAAACGGAGTTTCATTTAATTGTAGATGAGAAACTTGGTATGCATGCTCTGTGCTTGCCATCGTATGCAAAATGCTTGTTTTCTGATACATTCACATTTGTTATTCAAGAAGACTTTGGGGGAAAGTGAATGGTAACCCCTCATAAGTGCTGGATTTCCACTGCATGTGCCAGGCAAACATCTAGCTTAAAGAAAGATCTCTTCTGAGGGATTTAGAAAACAAAAGATTGCAAGAAATCAAGAGAAGTGCAGTAAGGCGTACAGAAAACATGCAAATCAAGGCTGTCAGAGGCTTTAGTTAAAAGAGCAGCAGCTCCCTATAAGCACTGATAAATATACGGCTGAAAAAAGTTATTCATTAGAATTAATATGGCCTACCATTCAGATAGTAAGATGAGTAGGCTAGAAGTACTTGGCCAACAAGCATTAAGGTGTTTGAATGCAAAACCGGACATTGATGAAGAGATTTCCTGGAGCTACTGACTGCTCAAAGCTCTAACCCTAGAGAAGCTCCTAATCAAACATGCATCAATCACATTTACTGTATTATCCACCCAAATGTAGAAATTAATTTAATAAGACAGCCAAACTTCAACAATGGCTTCAGCTGCTCCCATTTCCCCAAGGAATCTTAGTTTAATGCTGCTTATTGGATGGAAGAGAAAGAGGGAGAAGAAAGAGCATCTGGCTGAACAGAGTGATTAAGCAATCCACTTTCTGGCACTGATGCTTAATTCCCATTAAGGTACATCCAAGAGTAGCTGAGACTAACCCTTCTATCACTTTTTTTTTGGAAGTTTTGTTTGATTGCTCCGACCACACATTGCATAATATAGCAACGTTTGCACTCAGAAAAATATATGTTACCCAGTTGTTTAGATTTTGTGTTGGTGTACACATTCTCATCTTTCTATGTAAAAATTAATCATTTTTCGTAACTACCTTTTAGAGAATGACAGGAATAATGTGACAACTGCAATAGTTAGGGAATAGCAAAAGATAATTTTAATTATAAAATTAACTAGTCATCTGAAACCAGGCAGACTCTAAGCAGCTTATAGAAATAGAATTTTCCCCTTAGAACTCATTGTAAAGAATCAAAAAGTTTTCATAATAGGAAAACCAAGTAGGTAACTGACTGGGAACTAGGGCACATAGTAACCAGAACAGAGCATGGCTAAGGCTTTTGTGCTCTAGTCTACTCAACTTCACTCCAAACTGAATAAAATTTAAAACAATTAAAATATTTTAATGTCAAAAATGCAACTGTTAGCCAAGGCAATTGTAACAAAACTGCCAATTGCATTTTTTAGACGTTTGGATCTCCATTAGAATCTAAACATAATGCTTGTTTGTTTTCTTCTATAATGTTCAGAGGCAGCTTTAAGTAAGGGCAATTGCAGCACTCTAGTATGGAGATAACTAACATATGATTAACAGAAGCTAGAAAATCCATAATTGACAGATAAGATTAACCCAGACTGCATTGCCACTACCTGCTTTGTTGGCCCGCAAGCCCAAGAATATCTTAGGATTCACAATGAATATTTTGCAGCAGAGCAGATTCTTTCAGGACTAAATTAACATTTGTGTGCAGATAAGGAAGATACCCAAATCTTCAAAACCTATACGGATTGTTTTTGTTGGATTAATACATTTTATCCGGATTAATCTGGTTCTTTTCATTATGTTTCAGCACAAAGATTCAGTAAGACACATTTAATAATGTCACTGCTTTGAGTGGAGTAATTATATTAATTCACCATGGTTGGTATCATCTATAAGTACCATTTGTTTAAAAAGGCAGGAAGAAAGCAAGAAAATGTCCTTTTCATGTTGCTAAAGATTTATATCAATCCCCATTTATGTATATGCATACATTTCTTTCACAGCAGGAATCTTTCAGATGATGCCCATGGCAATTACATTTTCTCAACCCTCTCATCAGAAGGGCAATATTAATTTTAAAGCCCCAGCTGGAAACAAAAGCTGCTTTCCTTTTTACATTGTAGATTGATGATGCTCAACTGGCTAAGGCAGAAGGAAGGGGAAAGAAAGGGGTGCAAATATAAATGGAGCTAGGAAACTTAATAAGTCAAACTCATTTGTAATGGCCCAGATGTCTACAGTATGGATAGACTGTGCAACTTGTACTGCAGCATTACATTTCAAAGACCATCACATGCATTGTAGATGCAACATGAAAATTGGCAAAACAGTCTGAACAAGCCTTATTGAATCTTCTGAGAAACCAATAAGGAATAGCCTGTATGAAGAATACCTTTTTTTAAAGAAGGCAGTCAAGACATCAATAATCAATTTACTTCATTACTGATGAACAAGGTATTATAATACATCATGCAAATTAGTGTGCATTCCTATTTAAAGGTGCAACACAGGTGATCATCTTGACTGCATCGGGGCTAAGAAATTGGGAGCATGCTTCTCCTATAATTTCTCTTCACTTCTTCATGAACTGCCTTCCTTCCCAGGATCTGGTACTGATTATTAACAAGATTTCCACATATGTCATTATGATCACTCATTGTACCCATTATGTGATAAATAAATAAAATTATTGTGAATAAATAAGGTGAGTCTCCCAATCAATTTTAGAGCCTATTTTTAAATTCTGATGTTAGCTTCCACCAATGTACAATTAAAGTGTTAATCAGGAAAGTTATGAAAGTTAGGCACAAGAGATTCTGAAGCAAACATTATAGATGGAAAGTTACTTTTTTTCAGTGTAATCATGCTAGAGATATGTTTAAAACCATAGGCTGTGGGATTTGGTGTTTTCTCTTCTTACCCAAAAGGATCACCAACTACAAGAAAAGCCACATCAGTTTGATGTGCATCTTTCAGGATACCATCAGCATCTTGCTCTACAATTTCTCTGTCAGCAAGGATCAGCTCTTTACCATAGAAATCTTCCTACAAAAAGAAAAAAGTTATATCTGTATCCTATGTTCTAAAGGAAAGTAAGGTGACATGCAAAAAGATCTGGCACTATGACACCATCACAGCTATTCTGCAAAGCAGTTTAGAATGAAATCAAGTGGATGCTTAAGAAATTGTCCCAAGGATTGGGGTAGACAATTTTTGAGTGGTTGAGCTTGGAGGATGGGCACACATTCATTTTAATATTATTTTCAAACAATGAGGATAGCATTGACTTTTTCATGTCTTTCTGGACTGAGGGCAGCATGTTTAATTTTCAAATTACTTTCACAGTTTAAAGGACACTAAATCCACTTGAAGACAGAAAATCATGAGCTATGCTATTTTAATTCAGGAGGAAATCACACTGCTAAGCATTCAGTGACCTACTGATCAATTGTAGTAGCACAACTGCAGGAGGCTTGGGGTACTACAAAGCAGGGTTGAGGGCTATATGGCTTATTTAAAAGAATGGTGGATAGCAAAAATTACAAATGGGTGGCTTTGCCTTTTGCATTAAGTCATCAACTATTGTTAACAAACCACATTACTTAGTATTCATATCCTATTAAGTGAAAACCAAGCTATCTTCCTTATGATGTATCTGTTGAGTTCTTATACGCTATAAACATACATGTAATTGGCCCTATTGTGTTTCCAATCTTATGGGTTGGGAACAAACTGGGAATGTGGAAACTGGGCATCCAACTTTAATGCCAAGCCCTTATCTTACCAGTCAGAATGTAATACTTTTATCACTAAAGGGTCATGATAATCTAATGCCAAACTTTGAAAACAGTCAAACTCTTTGGCTCAGAATTATGTAAATGCATATACATGATCAGAAAACAAAAGTGTAATTTATAAAGTTGCCTGTTTGTGTCTGTATTCTAATTTTCCTCCACAGAGGTAGTCCCATTATATGTGGACTAAATCAAGATATAGTAACTAGATGCAATATTATCTAGAACATTTCACACCAGATTAGGGATCAGAATACCATTTGTATTGCTCTGATATTATTTTATACTTCGCCCTGCCTTTATTCACATACCAGTGCTTCTTTTCCAACAGTTAGGATAGAAGTGTAGGCTTCCAAATATACTCTGCTACACTGCTTTATTACTTCCAGCCCTTTTACTGTAATATCTTTGGCATCTCCAAGTCCAAGACCAATCAAGTAAAGCATTTTTAAAAACAAAACCAAGCAAGAAATGTTTTGGTATGGAGGATTTTTACACCTGTCAATGAAACAGACAAAAATACAATGAAAATCAAATATTAAAGCTTGATAATAGAACATAGGAAGTTTGAGCACTTCTATACAAGCTACCTCAAGCTACAACAGTTCATTTAGTGACCGTTCAAAATTACAATGGCACTGAAAAAAGTGACATATTTTTCACACAACCATTGCACCATCCCCATGGTCACATAATTCAGATAAAGTTCAGATGCTTGGCAATTGTCTCATATTTATGACAGCTGCGGTTCCCAGGGTCATGTGATCATCTTTTGCAATCTTCTGACAAGCAAAGTCAATGGGGAAGGCAAATTCACTTAACAACCATGTTAATAACTTCAGTGATTTGCTTAACAACTGTGGCAAGGGAGATCGTAAAATGGGGCAAAATTCACTTAACTATCTCACTTAGCAACACAAATGTTGGTCGTACGTCGAGGACTACCTCTAGTTCAAATATAGTGGAAAAAAATTACTGCAGAAGTTCTTGGAATAATTTGACAATACAATGCATTACTTTGAAGCTCTGCAGTTATAAAAACAAAACCAACAGACTTAGATATGAAATACAATTGCATGTAGGAAATATCGTTATTAAAATTTAATATTCCAAAATATGGATCATAGAGAGATATTGTTCAACATTAACCATTATATCAATACTATTCACATGTCGGATACCTACACAACCACAATTAATATGCCGATTACTTTATGCCATTAGTGAGTGTAAAGCTGATGTGGCAAAATTGAAAAGGCTTTTCTAATTATCATTCAGCACTGGTTAAAGAAAAAAAATGGCATAGTAGTAATTGGTTAATCGTTGCTGCTGTAATGTACATTCTACCTTGTATTATATTGTTTGGGAATTGGGTTAATTTTACCATAAACATTATATTGCATGATTGCAATTGTTATAAGCAGCCATTAGTTTGGAAGGACTAGCAGTATAAAAATCTAAATAATAACTAAAAAAACTGACAGCACCTTATAAAATGTATGACTTATGTTGTACTGGCGGCCCACGGGCCGGATGTGTCATGTGCAGGGCACGACCACCCCAGCTCGGCAAAGGCAAAAAAACATTGCGATACATCACGTGATGCTTTAGCCATTACCAAAAGCAAAATATTCATTTTACACATGCGTTTATTTAATTAATTTAAAAGTTTTATACTCTACCTCTAATCCTATGCATTCCCCCATTTAATATATTATTCACTTTTCTTAGGTTTACTTTTTTTTCCCAGTAAGTCCTTAGGCTTTCATATAAAATTGTTCCAAAGCCAGGTGTCTAACCACTCAGCAGCCCTTCAGCTGCAACTCTCATCTAATTCCGAAATTTCTTATCAGAACATCATTTTCTTTTAATTTGTAAATTGTATCCATAAGAAATTGTTACAAAGCAAAAAATGATTTATCAATAATTCATCATTCTGACAATATTTATGAACTCCCAGGAAGCGCCTAAAAATGAGACATGCTCCAGCTGAATATTAGTTACCAATTTTGGATGTTATCCTCCAGACACAAGGATCTTTTTTTTTTAAAGAATGAAAAGACTAGAACATAACTGCATTGCTGATCACCCTTCCTATAAAACATTGACCTAGTCCAATCTATTTCCAGACATCCTTGTTTCCAAATTCTCCTGCTCTGTATTAAGCACAGGCTGTATTTGCACATTATCATCATTCCTGAAGAAGTGAAATGAACAACCCAAACTGTATGTTGTACACATTGCCTGAGTTCACACAATATTCTGTATTTTAGCCTAACATGTTGAGATCTCAGATGCAGAAATTCAATCAAGATACCTTTCTCCAGCCAATGAAATGAGCTGGAGAATTAAAGAATTCCCATAATTTTTATTAAAAAGTAGGCTTCAATAATAAATCATATTTGCAACTGCATAATAAGCAAAATATATTAAAATCAAGTATTAAAATATTGTCTGAATGTATAGTGTTTGAATGCACATACACTTTGTTACTAATAAATGAACATACTGTATTCAGCTTTGTTATCTGATTAACCTTCTGCACTGAAATTCAGTTATCAAGTGGTTTCAAATTTCCAACGAAGCTAAATCCTTTAGGAATAATACAATTACTGCTTGATAGTCGTTGGGCTTTCTGGGAAACAAGCTTCATCTCTAGGAAATGTAATTCTAAAAATGCTTTTTTAAGAGCTAGGTCAATCGAATCCAATTGTTTCTAACTCGAATCTCCATCCAGGTGTAGAGTAGTACATTCCACCAAGGTTACTCATTGGATGAATGTACTGGCCACTCTTGTATGGAGATTCTCAGTCATCCAGGTCATCGTTGTCCCAAAGGTGCTGCACTTTTTTTTTTTTAAGAAGCTTCTGGGCTGAAAAAGCTTCTTCCAAGAAAAATAAGAAAGTTCAGTTTCCCCTTGAAAAAAAAAGCACCTTTGGGACTACTGCCCATTCATTCTCTTTACCTAATCCACCTCACAGGGAGGCTGGCAAAACAATGCGTGTAAACAACCCAGGACTCCTCACAGAAAGACAGACACGGGAACCGTAAAGTCTCTACACGAGAAATTCGACGTCCCCCTCCCCCGCCCTTATCCAGATGTGCTCAATTTTGCAGAACCTCACCTCCTCATTCATCGGCATAGAACCCTCAGTTTCTTTACCTATGCAAATGAGGATCTGCTTAGATGTCGTCGGAAGCTCTCCCTCCCTCCCTATTGCTGAGACCCCGTAGAACCCCCTGCCCGGCGCAGCGGTACCCTTTCCCTCCCATTTGCACCTGCCTTCCAGCTAGCGTTCGCCTTCGCTTCCGGGGTCTTTCAGTGCCGTAAACAAATATTGCCCTTCCCTTGCGACAATTTTACGGCAGCAAGATTCTGGCTTCTTTGCTTTCTTGGTGGGCTTCTGCTGGCTTGTTTCCGCCCGGAGAGGTGATGACAGGAGCGACTGGATGGTGCCTTTGCTGCTGAGGTGCAGGCAGATCAGGATGAGCACCTGGGAGTCCGGCAAAGTATTGGGGGTGCCTACTGTCCCTCTTTCTAATGGCTTAAACATCCCCATATTGGGGCTGGGTAAGTGCACGGATCTTCCCCGCTCGTCTGATTGAGAAAAAAAGAGGAGCAATTATAAATGTGATAAAACATGATCGCCCAGGTGCATGCGTCTTCATTTCGCCTTAGTATTCATCCTGTACCTGCCTGCTGTAAAGCAACGTTGTGCATTCCTCCAGAAGCTCTGAACTACAGCTTCCATCCTCGTTGCTCAGAGTAATAATGTCTGACATCAAGCTCTGTCCACCCAAATTAAGCAGGATGTTGTACTGGACACATTTGAAAAAAATCAGGTTGACAATATGCAATTGCTGCTATGCAACTGTATATATTTATTAATATACTTATTCTAGATAGGGGCAGTGATTTGTACTCTATATCTTGGAATAAATCTCTTTCACTTAAGACTTCTGAGTAATTATATGTAACATTGCAGTGTCAAAACAGTAGTCCTCTTCTTGGGCAGCACTTTTCTGCCAAGAGTCATTAAATCAGGTAGCTTCCTCTCTGGAAGCTCAGAGATGTGATTCATTTAGAAATCTAGTAGCAGTTTCTTATAAGATCATTTAACTTATGTTTGCACTGGATGATTTTGAACAAACTGGCAAGTTGTATGTACTTGGGTAAGGAACACCATAACTCAGTCTTAGGGCAGGCTGATTAATTGCAGAATAGTGCTATAGAAATATGCTACACATGTTCCATCTTTAGGTAACTATTTTTGATTTTTGGAGTATTTAATTTTTCTTTTAAATTGCATTCTTGTAGATCGTAGTGTCCTAAACTTTTTTTTTCTCAAGACCTCTTCCCAGTTTTAAAAAGTATAGAGCAACCCCAAAGAACTTTTGTTTGGATGGGTTATATTTATTGATATTTACCACATTAAAGTTTAAAATTGATGCATTTCTTGCCACTACCATGTCTCATGATTGTTTGATATGGTTTTAATATTGACTCTGTTTTCAATATGAGCTGGAAAATTTTGATTTTGCGGACCATACTTTGAGAAATACTGGACTAGATATATATTAGGAATTGAGCATTGGTGATGAGTAAGGCCAAAGCTTAGCTTTTTATATAAATTGTTTTCCCCCCTCTTAGTCCAGGTATTGCCAGAAGAAGAACAGGTAATTCCTAATGCATCTGAATTAATATTTTGAAGAAGATTTCCCAAGTTATGCTAAAGTCCTCAGCTTGTCCACCTCTAGTTTAATTTATTTTTGGTAGCATGCATTTTGGAAAGTATTACTTAAATGACAGTAATCCTAGCTCAGCGGCTCCCAACCTTTTCTATACCCTGTACCCCTAGAACGCTTCTGATACATTCTCGCATCCCTTATAAAAGTTTGAAATAACGGCAACGAATTATGCATATATACTATAATTTTGAAAACCCAAGTTTTCGCACCCCCTGGAATATTGTGAGCACCCCCGGTCTGCCCTAATTTGTCCTTTGTGTTGAATGTATTCTTTATGATCTCTATATTATTACCAAACTTATGACCGGTTGCTCAGTGACAGGTCGAAGTTACGATGTATCTGAAAAAGGAGACTTATGACCTGGATCTGAAATTCTGACAGTCTCCTCCCCACCTGTGGTCATGTGACTGATTTCAAGTTCTTGGCAACAGGGTTACATTTATGCAACACCCTTTGACTGAGTTTTACAATGGTTTTGCCGGAAAGTGGCACTTCTAATTATAGCAAAACTGTACTGATAGTGAACAGTGGGTTCACACTTACAACTGCCACATTTGCTTAACCACCACTGCAAAAATCATTGTAAAATTATGTGATCCATTTTATGATTGTCATGTCATATGACTCCAGTGGGTAATCTCCATTACGGTTGCATGTTGAGGACTTCTAATGTGGTTGACTGAAAGGTATTGTTTGCCACCTTATTTGTAGGAATAATAAGGGTTAGATACAAATAAATTATAAATGAAAATTCCTCTCTTAAATTTGAGTAAGAAATTCGTATTACTATAACAGTATATGCTACAGTCTTATTTTTAACCTTAAGAAAGATTTCTTTGAATTTATTATGACTTCTGGGTAGGAGCTCCGTCTTATTAGTAGGAAATATTCTCAAGAGATTTCATTCTCCAAAGTTTTGAGGGAGTATTTTTATTGTTTGTTTACTGTATTATACTGACATATTTCCACTATGTATTTTTTGTCATATTTATGTAGTGTATATTGTAGGTGGTGACCCTTTGAGAGCTGTATGCAATGAAATTTCATTTTAATGTATGCTGATTAGTGTACACTTAAAGTGACAATAAAGTTACGCTATTCTATTCCCAAGGAGGCATGTTGCATACAGTTAAACACCCTCTTCTCATATGTTTCAAAAGCAATCCATTTTAACAAAGTCCCATTACATTCAATAAGATTTATTCCCAAGTAAATGTTTGCTTAATTTAGTGGAGGGATTCTCAGACGGTGGGAGTCAAGAGTAACTTAGATACAGATTGCATTTTTTTTTTTTAAGCTGATCCAAGCTTACAGAAGCAAAGTGGGAAAAGTACCAAAACTTGCTCCTACTTTGCCTGTGCAAGCCCCAGATTTCCAAGGCCAAAATGAGGAGAAATATACACAACAGATTTTGACAATAATACTGTTTTGCCCAGACAAGGGATTTGCACAAACAAAGCAGGAATCTGTCAAAGTCTACTCCTATAATACATAAGCAAACCTACGGCAGATTTGCACAGACGAAACAGTGAGCAAAGCTTAAGGCTAGACTTGTGAGATGGCTGAACCAGTGGGTCTAGACATCTGTCAAAATCATCTACTGCTCACAGCAGTGCTTGTGACTTCTAGTGTGGAATGCACTCTGGGTCATTCTGAGTCATCTGAGTGATTATAATGTGTATGTGTTAAAGAAGTTCAGAATTTTCCCCATCGTTTAAAATTAATAGCCTTTCAAAATGGAGGTTTTTGATGGATACTAGGGGAAAAAAGCTAAAGAATAATAAAATTTAAGTCAAGAAATTATGCTGAAACTTATTCATGCTTTAGGTTAAGGGTATGTTATACCTTGCCCACTCTGCCTTACAGAAATCTTAAGTTTTATTCATTCATAGAATGGTAAAGTTTACAAATCTCTGAGTTAGTCTGTTACCGGATACAAATGAATGGCTTAAGAATGGCTTAAATTCTTAAATTCTTGAAAGGCTGTGTGGGTGGGGGACAACTGTGTATGGTTAGCATTAGTATATCAACTAGGAGCAAGAAATGCAAATTTCTTCAGCTTGAGGATATGGCAGAGGTGAAAGCCCTTTCTTTGTGTAGCAGATAATCAGTTCCTTTAATACTGATTATGCTGAAATAATAAAAGTATACATTCCACCAACCTCAATAAATAAGTTGGTAGAGTAGTTGGGAATTTAAGTAGTTTATGGCAGTGATTGTATAGCAAATGTACTGCTAGCTAATTTAACCACATTTCTTCAACAAACATTTACAGATTTGAATGACTCAGAGAATCATGAAGAGCCGCCCCAAACTGAGTTTGCACTTTATGCTAGGATTAAATGTGGTTAGCTGGTTTGTGGTTTGGTGTGTCATGTAAATATAGTCTAGGTATTAAGGAAAATTTAGATTGTCTGTATTGTGCTCTATAACAGTCATTTTCCCTGTTATGTATAATAATTACTACCTCTAAAACAAAATATTGTAGGAAAAGAAATATTTTTGTTTTATGCTTATGATATTAAATTTATTGAATTTGAAATTTATTGTTGATGTAATTAACATGTGGGAGACTTTATTTTATCTGTCAAGAAGCAGCAAAACACTTGCCTACAAGTTGTTAATTAGACTTTGTATAGCATACTTCATATTTTCAGAGTGTTTCATTATTTGAATAATCCTTTAAAAAAATTAAATGCATTAGTCCAATAGGGAGGGATTGTCTTTGATGTTTCTGATCTGATTGCTGTTCAAAAATAGAACATTATCACTGGACCTGGCCATAGGATTTATTTATTTAAAAGGTTTTTATGGCTGCCTATAAGAAAGAACTCAAAGCAGCTCATAGCAATATTAAACCAGTAAAAATAAGAAAACCAAGGAAAAAACAAGCCCCTGATCCATCATCTCTCTGTTTACTCATCTACACAATCACACTAACTCTCAGTAACGCTTCCCAGATCTCAGTTTCACTGGAGGAGAACTATGTAAAATAAGTAGGTATTTATTGTTTATTACCTTTTTTTGGAGTTCTGAGAAGAAGCATCAAGTCTCTCTGAGAATAAACTCAGGACTCTCTGATACAAGATAGTAATAGTAATAGTAGTAAAGTTGGAAGGGACCTTGGAGGTCATCTAATCCAACCCCCTGCTCAGGCAGGAAACCCTACACCATTTCGGACAAATGGCTGTCCAATCTCTTCTTAAAAACTTCCAGTGTTGGAGCATTTACTGCTTCTGGAGGCAAGCTGTTCCACTGATTAATTGTTCTCACTGTCAGGAAGTTTCTCCTTAGTTCTAGGTTGCTTCTCTCCTTGATTAGTTTCCACCAGTTGCTTCTTGTCCTGCCTTCAGGTGCTTTGGAAAATAACTTAATTCCCTCTTTTTTATGGCAGCCCCTGAGATATTGGAATACTGCTATCATGTCCCCCCTTGTCCTTCTCTTTGTTAAACTAGACATACCCAATTCTAGCAACCGTTCCTTATATGTTTAAATTCTTTGGGTTCAATTGCGGTCAT